AGAATAGTCTGATTAATCAAAAGGCTCCATACGCATACCAAGGGTAATTTTGTGAAAATAATGTTATGAGACTGCAGCTCCACCCTAAGAACCACTGTATATTGTATTCTGCTAACTATGAAGTTAATGAATGCAAATATAATTTTTTTTTCATTCATTCTGTTTTGTATTTCACAAGCCTTTATATTTTTGCCACAGTTACATGCAAATCATTCTTCTTAGTGACAAAAAATCTTAACACTGGCAGGGGAATCACCAGATGCAACCTATTCATTCAACAGATATTAATGACATCCCATAGAATGCCGCCCTTCAATTAATTGAAAACTGTTAACAACACTAATAGCACGGCTTATTGTTTTAATAGAGACTGGTGACATCACTTAAGAGAGCAGCCTATCCATTCACTAGATCCTAGTGATAACATTAAGAATGCAGCCTATTTACTAAAGTTGGTGACAATATTAGGAATGCAACTTATCCATTCAACAGATATTGGTGACATTACCATGAATGTTACTATTTCTTAACTACAGACTGCTAAAAACACTAACATTCATATGAAAATTCTCAGTACGTTTGACAGCTTGATGAAAGTCATTCAAAGTAGTTCAAAATTTAGTTTGCTTTTAACATTCAATTTTTTAGTGAAGGGACTTTCCTGAACGAAAACCACTTATACTGTTGGAAAATTGATTGTTTGTGAATGATTTTCCATCCCGCTCCCTTAAACTTCTTTATCGCCATGGTCAGTTTTAATGGTATCACTGAGAACGCTGCCTGTCCATTCAGTAGAGACTGGTAACAGCACTAATAATATAGCTAATCAATTCAATAGAGGCTGGTATTGACACTAACAATACAGCCTATCTATTCATTAACCACTTGCCGACCGCAGGTAGCCGAATGACGGTTTCACCGCGGCCGGCCAGTTCTGGGAGGATGTCATATGACGTCGTCCCAGAACGTGCCCTCCCGTGCGCCCCCAGGGTCACAGCTGATCACGTGATGTGGTAAAAGGCCAATCACAGCGGCCTTTTACCACATGATCAGCCGTGTCCAATGATACAGTAGATAACCGGTAAATGCAGTTACCGGTTATCGGCTGCACTTTCCTCACACTGTCAGAGTGTGAGGAAAGTACTGCTGATAACTGGAAATTGTTAGAGGATGGATCGGCACCGATCATCCACCAGTGCCACCCACCTGTGCCCAGCAGTGTCGCCCACAAATGTCCAGCAGTGCCACCCAGCTGTGTCCATCAGTGCCCAGTAGTTCCACCCACCATGCCCATCAGTGCCCATCAGTGTCACCCACCTGTGCCCAGCAGTGCCACTCAGCAGTGCCACCATCAGTGCCCAGCACTGCTGCCAGTCAGAGCCCAGCAGTGCTGCCAGTCAGTGCCGTCAGTCAGTGCCACCCATCAGTGCCACCTATCAGTGCCCATCATTGTTGCATATCAGTGCCATCTCATCAGTGCCGCCTATCAGTGCTGCCTATCAGTGCCCATCAGTGCTGCCTATCCGTGCCAGCTCATCAGTGCCGCCTATCAGTGCCCACCAGTGCCGCCTACCAGTGACCATCAGTGCCGCCTATAAGTGACCATCAGTGCTGCCTACCAGTGCAGCCTCATCAATGCACATCAGTGAAAGAGAAAAATTACCTGTTTGCAAAATTGTATAATAGAAACAAAGAAAACCTTTTTTTTCAAAATGTTTGCTCTTTTTTTGTTTATAATGCAAAAAATAAAACACCCAGCGGCGAGTAAATACTACCAAAAGAAAGCTCTATTTGTGTGAAAAAAATGCTAAAAATGTCATATGGGTACAGTGTTGCATGACCACGCAATTGTCATTCAAAGTGCGACAGCGATGAAAGCTAAAAATTGGCTTGGGCAGGAAGGGGGTATAGGTGCCCAGTAGGCAAGTGGTTAAAGACTGGTGACAACATTAAAGCAGCCCATACCAGTGGGTTGAGGGGGAAAAAATTACCTAATTCCCTCATACACATATTCGAGGTGGATGGAAGAATCTTCCAACCTGCTGAGCTACTGTATTCTGGCAATAGGGTGACTTCCCCCCGTCGGTATACACTGATAAGCACTGCAGGCTATAGCCTGTGGCTCTGATTGAGCAGGGAAAATCCAACAGAGTGATTGTACAGAAGTTGATCAGTAGATTGACTTCTATACAACCACAGTGCCCATACATAGATTGAAAATCAGCTTGTCCTGCTGAATTGGCCAAATTTTATTCCATGCATGGCTGACTTAACAGCATAGCCAATCTATTCACTAGAGACCAATAACAACTCTAACAATACAGTCTAACTAATCACTGGAGACTGGTGACAACACTAAAGCAGCCCATACATTACTCAGTTATTTTTCATTCAGTCAGTGAGTTGAGGGGAAAAAACTGACCTGATTCCCCCTTTCCACATATTCAAGGTGGATGGAGGAATCGTCCCCACTGAGCTATTGTATTCTGACAATGAGGCTATTTCCCCGCCATCAGTATATACACTGATCAGCAGAGCAGGCTATAGCCTGTGGCCCTGACTGAGCAGGACAAATCCAACAGGGCGACTATACAAAAGTCAATCAGTTGATTGACTTCTGTACACCCACAGTGCCCATATGTGAGATGGTGAAAAAGCTCTCATTGTTCGAACACTGTGTGGAAGTAAATTAATGTTTTGGCTGACATTCTGCGGTTTAGCCAAAAGATGTCACTGTTTTTCTAACACAGTCTCAGACTGCATAGATATTTGTATATTCATGAAGTGGTGGGGTTTTGCACACAGAGTTGGAGAGAACAGGAAGGAGAGAGAGAAGCCATGTTTTAGAGAATGGTGAATAAGGGGCCGCGTGAGCTGAGAATCTGATGACATCCAGGTGTGAAAGTGTCCCTCAGTAACCAGAGGTGCAGCTGAGTGAAGCTGATGAGATTGCTGCCATGAAGCTGATGAGGTTGCTGCCAGGAATGCTGATGAGATTGCTGCCTTAATGCTGATGAGATTGCTGCCAGGAATGCTGATGAGATTGCTGCCAGGAAGGCTGATGAGAGCAGAGGAACTAACCAACATACATGGTGAGACCGCATGTGTCAGGAATGGACTGGCCAGCAATAGTGGGACTCAGCTGCCTTATGAGCTGCAGTACCAGGGCTGGCCAGCGGGTGCTCCCAGCAATCAGAGACTCAACCTTGCAGCCAGTCAAACACCTGGAACTAATTATACTGGTGTATTTAAGGGACATTCAGACCTGCAGACTCTGCCTTGGTGTTGTGTTTCTCTTGGGCCCTGTATCCTGTTCCTGCTCTCTGTTCCTGTCTGATTCTCTGCTGACCCTGCTCTGATCCCTGGCTTGTCTGACCATTCTCCTCTGCCTGACCCTCTGTACCACGCTGCCCGCTACCTGCTGAACCTGGCCTGTGACCCCGACCATTCTCCGCTTGCTCCCCCTGTACCTACCTGCCCGACTGATATTGACCCGGCCTGCCAGACGACGCTTGCATTGTATGTACTGTTATCTGTGGGTGGTTGGTTGGTTTGTTTGCACTGTGTTATGTTTTAGTATTGCACTGCGTTTATGTTTGTATGGTTAGTGTTAATAAATTACATTGTTTATAACATATCTGAAGTCTGCGTTTCCCTGCGTCAGTCACACACCTCTGGTCATACCCGGGAGCCCTGACATTATACCAAGGCCAATCCTGACCAGAAGTGGCTGCACAGGGAAGCCATCTTGGTTTGTTGATGGAAAGGATGGATCTGGATGAGGTTGCGTATTTATCTCTGCTAGTGTTTGATGACAGGGAGTATGCTTATCAAAACTCTGAAGGAGTATACCCGGGATGAACTGCTAGAATGTATACAGATCGCTCATGTTCTAGTAGATCAGGGCACAGAGTTCTCTGAGGTGCAGCCATTGATTGAGGTTTGTGCTGAGTTGGTTTCATCTGGTACCCCCGAATGCAGGGATGAATTTTTGCCACCATTTAGTGCAGACCAGGTAGAGTCCCTGGTGTGGTTATTAGAGGATGATGTGGGTTACTTTCTGGAGCGTTATTCCGCATGTTCACCACAGACACTAAGAGATTGTATAAACGCAGTGCAGTCTTTGGTCAGACAGGCTTTGTGTAAGCTCAGCTTTGTTCAACCCATACTGCAGACATGGACAGATTTGTTGCACCCAGCCTCAGTCAGCTTACAAAAACCCAGTCCTGCTCCTAATCTATTTCCTCAAAACTCTATTCCTGCATTCCCAACAGCTCCTCCTGCCCTGCTATCTACCGCATGTCAGTACCCTGTTCCCACTCGCTGCACCTATCCTGCCTTTAACCCTGTAAAAAAGCCCTCTGTAGCAACTGCTCCCTCTCCTGTTCCATCCTCCAGTTCTCTGTCTCCAGCTGCTCCATTCATTTGCAGACCTGCGTTTACTTGCAGTGCTCCAGTAGTTAAAACCAGAAAAAAAGCGAAAATTCTTTCCAACCAATACCATCCTGCCAGTATCCAAACCGGTGAGCCTGCCGTCTGAGAACCTGCCTTCCGTGGTTCAGCCTGGTGCCTCTACTCAGCCTGAAGCCTCTACTCAGCCTGATGCCTGTACCCAGCCTGATGGCTGTACCCAGCCTGATGCCTGTACCCAGCCTGATGCCTGTACTCAGCCTGATGCCTGTACTCAGCCTGATGCCTCTATTCAGCCTGATGCCTCTATTCAGCCTGATGCCTCTATTCAGCCTGGTGCCTCTACTCAGCCTGAAGCCTCTACTCAGCCTGATGCCTGTACTCAGCCTGATGCCTGTACGCAGCCTGATGCCTCTACTCGGCCTGATGCCTGTACGCAGCCTGATGCCTCTCTTCAGCCTGAAGCCTCTACTCGGCCTGAAGCCTCTACTCGGCCTGAAGCCTCTACTCGGCCTGATGCCTCTACTCGGCCTGAAGCCTCTACTCGGCCTGAAGCCTCTACTTGGCCTGAAGCCTCTACTCAGCCAGACGCCGGCATTCAGCCTGATGCCTCTACCCAGCATGATGAACTGATCCAGCCTGACGGTCCTATTAGGCCAGTTGACTCGATGCCGCCCCGCTGTTGACCCAGGTGATCCGGTACCTGATCCGGTGCCCGCTGTCGTGCCAATTGACTCAGAGCCCGCTGTCGTACCTGGTGACTCGGTGCCCACTGCCTTGCCAGATGATGCGGTGCCCGCTGGCGAGCCAAATGACCTGATGCCTGGTGACCCAGTGCCCGCTGTCATACCTGGTGACCCGATGCCCGCTGTCGAGCCAAATGACCTGATGCCTGGTGACCCGATGCCCGCTGTCCAGTCAGACGATCCAATGTCTGACCCAGTGCCCGCGGTCATACCAGTTGACTCGGAGCCCACTGCCTTGCCAGATGACGCGGTGCCCGCTGTCGAGCCAAATGACCTGATTCCTGGTGACCCGATGCCCGCTGTCCAGCCAGACGATCCAATGTCTGACCCAGTGCCAGCGGTCATGCCAGTTGACTCGGAGCCCACTGTCGTGCCTGGTGACTCGGTGCCCGCCGCTTCGCCTGGGGGCCCGAGACCTGTCGCTCCGCCTGGGGGTCCGGCGCCCGCCTCTCCGCCTGGGGGGTCCGGCGCCCGCCGCCCCGCCTGGGGGCCTGAGACCTGTCGCTCCTCCTGAGGGCCCGAGACCTGTCGCTCCACCTGGGGGTCCGGCGCCCGCCGCTCCGCCTGAGGGCCCGAGACCTGTCGCTCCGCCTGGGGGTCCGGCGCCCGCCGCTCCGCCTGAGGGCCCGAGACCTGTCGCTCCGCCTGGGGGTCCGGCGCCCGCCGCTCCACCTGAGGGCCCGAGACCTGTCGCTCCGCCTGGGGGTCCGGCGCCCGCCGCTCCGCCTGAGGGCCCGAGACCTGTCGCTCCACCTGGGGGTCCGGCGCCCGCCGCTCCGCCTGCGGGCCCGAGACCTGTCGCTCCGCCTGGGGGTCTGGCGCCCGCCGCTCCGCCTGAGGGCCCGAGACCTGTCGCTCCGCCTGGGGGCCCGATGCCTGTCGCCCCTCCTGGGGGCGCCCGGGGGCCCGCTGCCTGCTGCTCCGCCTGGTGGCCCGCTGCCTGCTGCTTCGCCTGGTAATCCGATGTGCCTCTGCCCGGAGTCCTGCCCGATGTGCCTCTGCCCGGAGTCCTGCCCGATGTGCCTCTGCCCGGAGTCCTGCCCAATGTGCCTCTGTCCGGAGTCCAGCCCGGTGTGCCTCTGCCCGGTGTGCCTCTGCCTGATGTGCCTCTGCCCGGAGTCCAGCCCGATGTGCCTCTGCCCGGAGTCCAGCCCGATGTGCCTCTGCCCGGAGTCCAGCCCGATGTGCCTCTGCCCGGAGTCCAGCCCAATGTGCCTCTGCCCGGAGTCCAGCCCGATGTGCCTCTGCCCGGTGTGCCGCTGCCCGGAGTGCCTCTGCCCGGAGTCCAGCCCGATGTGCCTCTGCCCGGAGTCCAGCCCGATGTGCCTCTGCCCGGAGTCCTGCCCGATGTGCCTCTGCCCGGTGTGCCGCTGCCCGGAGTCCTGCCCGGTGTGCCAGTCTTTGATATCCCGCCAGTTACCAGACCCGGGCGGTGGAACATTTTGCCCAGCTAGGACTGTTTGGAGCGTCCTGAGGCCGCTCCTTGAGGGGGGGTACTGTCAGGAATGGACTGGCCAGCAATAGTGGGACTCAGCTGCCTTATGAGCTGCAGTACCAGGGCTGGCCAGCGGGTGCTCCCAGCAATCAGAGACTCAACCTTGCAGCCAGTCAAACATCTGGAACTAATTATACTGGTGTATTTAAGGGACATTCAGACCTGCAGACTCTGCCTTGGTGTTGTGTTTCTCTTGGGCCCTGTATCCTGTTCCTGCTCTCTGTTCATGTCTGATTCTCGACTGACCCTGCTCTGATCCCTGGCTTGTCTGACCATTCTCCTCTGCCTGACCCTCTTTACCACGCTGCCCGCTACCTGCTGAACCTGGCCTGTGACCCCGACCATTCTCCGCTTGCTCCCCCTGTACCTACCTGCCCGACTGATATTGACCCGGCCTGCCAGACGACGCTTGCATTGTATGTACTGTTATCTGTGGGTGGTTGGTTGGTTTGTTTGCACTGTGTTATGTTTTAGTATTGCACTGCGTTTATGTTTGTATGGTTAGTGTTAATAAATTACATTGTTTATAACATAGCTGAAGTCTGCGTTTCCCTGCATCAGTCACACACCGCTGGTCATACCCAGGAGCCCTGACAGCATGCTTGTTGGAGAGACATTTGTTCTGTTCAGAGTCAAAGCAGATCCGGGTTGGTAAGATCGTGCATGCACCTCATTTCAGTGTTGGCGCCTTGAGACTGAGTCCAGGCCTATAGTTAGTTAGTTAGGGTCTCTGTTTGTGTCAGGCCACAAGTGTTGTTACTGATTATTGGAAGGACTCCACAACTTACAGTGACATTTCACATTGGAGAGCTGATAAAATCCTACAAACTCAAGCCAGACTGGCGTATTGCTCAGAAGGAATACTCAGGCACGTGCTACAGGACCAGTTATGGGAGAGGGAATACTGTAGATTTGTGTAAGATTGTAAGCTGTTGTGCTGCACCGCAGGCTAGCCCATACCGTACACCCATAAATTGATTCCTGCTCTTTTAGGGTAATAACAGGTAAGGTGTGGCAGCTTAGCTGTGCCCGCCAGTAGGTAAATTACTACGCTTTCTACCTTCATCCTTCAAGAGGCGCCATGCTGTGCAGCACAAGGGTCTCAGCCTTTGGGTTGATTGTAGGTAAATTTATTGTATGTTTCCAGCATTTGTGGTTGTGTTTATTTGCCACATCTAAGTAAAATTCTGTTGTGGCAAAAGCTGGTGTTGGGGTTGCTTTCCTCGTTCGTGACTTCACTGTATCCTGGGGAGCCCACCCCGATACACGGCTTACACATACATGGATTGAAAATCATCTGGTTCCAGCTGTATTGGCCAAATTTCGATCCATGCTTGGCAGACTTAACAATATAGTCTATCTATTCACTAGAGACCAGTAACAGCTCTAACAATACAGTCTAACTAATCACTAGAGACTGGTGACAATACTAATAAAACAGCCTATCCATTCCATAGAAATCAGTGTTATTGCTGAGAATGCAGTCTACCAATTCAGTAAAGACAATCATCATACTCAAGCATACAGCTAAGCTACAGACCAGTGTAACACCCAGGATCCATGCTTTGGCCTCTGTCACACTCTACTAAACCACAGTATTCCTACATGTAACCCCTTAGTTCTACAGCAAACTTTAAGAAACTCTAACTTAGCATGCCCTGCCAGAAAAAAATTGACAACACAACTAACCCACAGAAACCATTTAATACCAATTGCATCGTTAAAACAACCAATGTTTGCCTTCCCCTCTAACTCCAAAGTATTTCATGTAAACTGTGAACTTTCATCAAAATCTCCCTATTTTCACTGAAATTTCTATCATATGAAAACTTTCGGTTTCATTCATCCCCAGATACCTGCCTATCCAACCACCCTCTAATTCCCATGGACAACTTTAAATAGTTGAATTGTAAGATCAGACTTATAAAGCCATAAATATAGGACAGACAAAACACAGTTAATGAAAGAAATATCCTAACCTTTTAAGAATGTTATTGTTTAAACACAGCATAAATTCTCACAGAATTGAAAAGATCAGTTACATAATTCACAACTAGGATTATTTCAAAATTCCTTCTGGACAAATGACTGGATTTTCCATACCTCCTACGCAGAGTCTATCCTGGTAGCCAAGTTACAATGATCTCAGCATTAGTGTCTGTTGGCTAGTGAGTGCTCATGCACGTTTTTTTAAATGGATAAAATAAACCTGCAAGCATCATATTTGCAAAAGCCTTATGACAAGCTCAAGTTTGTATAACACCTGAAATTTATTGAAAGAGTGCAAAAGGGGAAGAGGACTTCCACAGAAAAGTACATCTATATGAACAACAGTGGTAATAAACCCAAAAAGAAAAATGTAATATATTGCAGCTTGCCGATCCTTAAATGTGGTTGCTGCAATACACTCTGGATGTAGGAACAGCTGAGACACCCTTGGACAGCAGAATTGTCAGCTTGGGGATAGGCTAATGTTGAATGCACTAACAAATTTAAAAATACTTAACTAACAAATTAAAATTGAACTCCAGCTAACATTGTTTTTAGCAATTACAGCAGTTTTTTTTCCTTTGTGGATGAAGGTTTTATATAAATGAATAAAAGGTGACCACCTCTGTAAGCACCTCTGTCAATGTTAAATGGCCATATTTACTGGACTGATTTGTCTGTTAAAGTTGAAAAACAACAGACTTACTGGCTGGATCACCAAGTGAAAATAAAAGCATGGCTGAGGTATTTCAGATACAGGAACAACACCCATAAAATGACAACATTTTGGAAAGCAAACACTTCAAGGTGTTTTCTGCAAGGAATAATGAGACTTTTAAAAATGTTATTTATTGCCACATGTTTTTTGGAAAAGAAAGGAAAGAAAATGAAAATGTTTTTTTTTTTTACACAAAGATGCCAATTAATAAGGTATTTTTAAGACACAGCATGTTCAGAGACTTTTGCACAGCCTAGCCACATAGAGGGGCCCAAAATTCAAAGAGCACCCTCAGGCTTTCTAGGCTCATAAATTATGCATGCATTTCTTTACTACCTTTTCCATTGTTGGAGGCCCTGGAGCACTAGACAGTAGAAAAACCCAAAAAATGACCACGTTTTGGTACCTGTGCCATTAATGTGCTTGCCTCTTACAAAATCTGGCATAAACTGCCAATCACACAGTGACATGGCCTTGTACCGCCACATATCCCCCCCCCCCTTTGTTTAGAACCAGAGGGAGCAACACATAAACCCATCACTGTGGTTGGGACACCTCTGAGCCAGTCGTTAGCTACGTAAGCCCAACTCTTTTTCGGGGTATGTTTCCACAAACGCTTTACTCTAGCACCTCTGTTTCTGGATTTAAAACTTTTTTGGGCCTAACCCTCAACATGGGCATTACAGAAAAGAATGCATTGTGGTCATATTGGTCCACAGACTCAATTCAACATATGCTCATGTTCTCTGCTGTTACATATATGCCCAACAAGGACAAGCAACATACTGGTACGTCGCTGGACTGCAAGTGGTTATACCAGGATGATACCTGCAGCTACAGGCATCATCATGGTATCATTTTTTTTCAGCTAGTGGGTGGCTTTCATTTAAAAGCAATCCTAGTGGCTAATTAGCCACTGGATCACTTTTACAAGCAGCGGGAAGGGATGTCTCCTCCCCTCCTGCCACCTTCCATGGCTTTCTCGGGCTCTCCTGTCCAATTGGGGAACCTGAGAATGCAGCAAGCGGTACAGCTGTGTTACCATAGAGCTGATCAGAGACCAGAATGGCTCCAACCATGTCTATAGTCTAAGAAAGCATTTAATCATTTAGGTTTTACCGGATATAAACAGCACCATTTTAAAATTTGTAAAGCATCTAATCAAACCAATCTTTCACCATTTCGACATGCATGTGTAGTATCACCGCAAACGTCAGATAGAGGGCAGTAACTCTAGCACTAGACCTCCTCTGTAAATCTAAAGTGGTTACCTGTAAA